GAGGCTCGCTGTGCACTTGTTCAGGCTCCTGATATCCTTTGTGTTGTTTCCCCAAGGTGGCTCTGCAGTACATCGGGTGAGTGGCGATTGATCAACCAGGGCAAAGCGCCGACAACAGTTCATGTCCCATGTTTTCATGCGGAGAGTGTTGCAACTTACAACATACCGTATCAGCTCATGTCTGTGGTCGTGCATGGTGCAACTGGTGATCCTTTCGGTGCTCGTTACTGGGCGAGCTCAAAGAAGACTGGATGGCATGCACATACCAATGGTAAGATTGCCAAGCCTGTCAAACTGAGTGATACAACCCTTTATGCTCGTGATTGTGATGCAGTCTTTCTTTGCAGAGTCGAGGAGAGTGCCATTGGGGGCACTGCATGATGCGATATGGCTTTTCATTCATTTCATGTTATTTCTGAGTCCTGAGTCCACTGAGCACCGGTAGAAACCGTTAGTTGTACAGTGTACTTTGTTGCCATGTCGTTTGCCTTTAGGGATCCTTGACTTAGTGCTTTTTGTTACACTGTAGCATACGCGTTGCTGAGCTTTCGGGCCGGACGTGTATGGTGCACTCGCTCTAGTGCTGTCGGCACGGGGTGCCCTGTGCATCTGAAAGATGCCTTGCGCATAACAACTACCTTGCGCATGCTGGGCCTACGCTAGGCGTTCTACTCAAGACTGAGCGCTGCGAGAGAAGGAAAAGCCAAGTGAATCAAGCTTCTCGGCCCGAGCAGTTTGCTGCGAGTTGGGGTGGGCGGCGCGCGTAGCTGTAGCATTGCGTAGGTGCATGGTTTTCAGCTGACGTCGGTGCCTCTGACTCACATCTGATCTACACGCATGCTTTACTTTTGGATTTTGCTTGGTATTCTTTTCCCTTGGTCGTTTTCGCATGGTTTTCATTACAGCGGACTCAGCAGATTTCTCATGGAACGTGACACGACAGATGCAGCAGCAATACATGCGGTAGAGATGGCCGCTCCGGTCCCAAATCCGGAGGTCGAGTATGAGGAGGACACATCTTTTCATGTTTTCGATAGAAGCGAGGGTTGGGGGCCCCGCCGAGCCTCTGGGAACGGGGATGCACTTGTTGATCAGGAACCACGAAGCCCCGTGAAAACAGGCGAATCAGGCCGACCTTGCGGCAAACCTTTTTCCTTTTACAGAAAGCGAGCTTTTAAGCGTGCTGTGGCCAGGGCGACAGTACATGGCACGACACAGTATCGAGGACAGACATGTGATTTACATGCTCTCATGGGACAGTATCAGGCAGGTGGTACGCAGCACTCTGGGCGCGCTTCCAGGATCAACGCTGCAAGCACTGGTGCCTCATCGCAGTTTTCGCTCTCCTGTATATCTTGGAATTGTGGTGGTCTCAGCTCCCTCAAAGATGAGTTGTTCACGTGGCTCGACGAGCACCCTTACGACATTGTTTTTCTTCAAGAGACCTGGCACAGGCAACAGATGGACTTTGACACACGTGGCTATCACTGCATCGGATCTGGCATAGGCACGGATGCCAAGAGAGCCCATGCAGGTGTCATGACTTTGCTGCGTAAGACTGTGTTCCCACAAGATTACATTAGATTTCATGATCCTGTTGCGGGACGCCTCCTTCATGTTAGGGCTTGGTGTGCAGGGGGCTGGGTAGACACTATCAATGTGTATCAGTATGCACTTGGACAAAGCGGTGACCAAGCTGAGATCTTGCGGAAACGCACTACATTGTGGACATCCCTTCGACAGACATATGGACACATCCCACAAGGCAGCACTCTTGTATCTGCAGGTGACTACAATTGCAATCTGACCACCTTGAAGTCTCACACAGGACCGGGCATGCTTACACCGACGACGCCTTCACCGGATATGGAGGACCTCGTGGCGATTGTGCAGGACTTCTCATTGCTTGCTGTCAACACATTCGGCAGGAAGAACAGCTACACTTACATCCATGAGGGGTGCAAGCCGGTACGCCGCTCCTTCATTGACTACATGTTTGTTAGGCAGAACAAGCACAGTGATTACAAGTCTGGACTTCTGCGTGATTGGCAGGTTGCGCGCTGGCGCAAAGGTGGAAGGCATCTCCCGGTTTGGTCACGGTTTTCCATACGAAGGTTCAGGACTCAGAAACCACAGCAGAAGCTCGAATGGCCTCGATGGCGCTGCCGCCTTCTTTCACAGGCCATCAAGGAGCAACCACAGTTGGCCGAGCGCTACACAGAGCAGGTTGCCGTCGCGTTGCAGGCTGTTGATAAGTATGAGCCCAAGAAGTTGAACGCACTGCTGCTGGAGGTCGGGGGAAAGATCTTTCATGTTCAACGACCACCCAGCTTGCCGCCGCCCTGGACTGGAGCGCAACACATCGGCGGCATCAAGGACATGTGGCAACATTATCGACTCATGCGCAGGTCCTTCGAGGAGGCCAACCGCTCTCGTGTGGGGCGACTTCGTGCTATGGTGCAGGCTTGGAAGCATAGGGTTCGTTTCTTGAAAATGCACCGCATGGTTCAGAAGCACTCTCGTCAACTACGCCGGACCAGGTTGGCACAGTTGCTTCAGGAGGCGGATGCCCACACACGCTCAGGTTGCAGTCAGGCGCTCTTTGATCTCGTTCGGAGAGTGGCACCCAAACAAGCACGAAAACGATCGCAGCTGCGGTCCAAGGAGGGCAAACTGCTTACTCCGGCTGAGGAAGCCCGTGCCCTACAGGATTTCTGGCGATCGGTGAATGGCGCACCAGGGTCGCTCCTTCGTTCGGGACAGGCTTCCAGCTACACCGTGCTGCAGCAGGACATTGAGCAAGCCCTACGCGATCTTCAGGCGAGCAAGGCTGCCCCGCCACACTGCGCTCCACATGCCTTCTGGAAACTGGCCTCCTCCCCAGTTGCTGAGTTCATGGAAGATAAGGTTTTCTCAAGCTGGCGAGAGGATCACGCGTGGGTCCCAGATGATTGGTCGGCGGCATGGCTGGTGTTCCTGCATAAAGTTGGCAAGGCCAACGACGACCCCGCATCATTACGGCCCATCGCGCTACTAGACCCAATGGGCAAAGCAGTCAGCGGTGTTCTGAAGAGGCACCTCGAACCATATCTGTTGAAGGCAACTGCCACATTGCCACTTTATGGCTATCTAGCGAACAGATCCCCGCAACAGGCCCTCACGGTGGTCTATGAGCACTGCGACAGAGTTCGAACTGCAGCCCGAGCCCAAACTCGCTCCTGGTACGAACTACGAGCGGGACAGAAGAGGTCATCGTGTGCAGGGGGCCTCCAGGTCAGTGTGGATTTTTCTCAAGCGTTTGACCGTGCAGACCGCCAACTTTTGGTGCGTGCCTTGCAATTTCTTGAAGTGCCAGATGACTTGACCGATGTGATTCTCAGGTGGACACAGAATACGGTTTTTCACATTGACATGGCCGACGCGTCTGAGCAGTATCATTCTAGTACTGGCATCCGCCAGGGATGCAAGTTGTCACCTACATTGTGGTGTTGTCTGTACACCTATGTGCTACATGTTCTTGACTAACAACTTGGTACGGAGTGGAGCTTAGAGCACCTGCTGGGATTCGCGGATGACACACACCTGCGATGGGAGTGTCAGGATCGAGAAGGCCTGCTCAAGGCCCGTGTTGAGGCAGGACGTGCACTCAGCATTCTTGAAGACCTCGGTTTCTACATTAGTCGGGATAAAACAGTATGCCTGCTCAAGGCGGAGGGTGTCCAAGTTCCACACCTGATGCGCAAAATCACGCGCAAACGCCTGCAGCCCAAAGGCACTCTGCTGGTTCTCGATGAGAGATGGACGTTGCCGCTCAAGCGCGACCACATCTACTTAGGAGCCGTGATCTCATATGGCAACTACGAGATGCTCAATGCACAACATCGCAGACATGCAGGACAAGCGGCCTTTTCACGCATGCGCACTACGCTTATGTCACACCGTGCTCTCTCCCTCGACAAGAGGCTGCGTCTGTGGCGTACCATTGTCCTGCCGGCCACTCTGTATTCCTTGTCTTCTTCAGGATACACCAGGAAATCCTTTGATCTCATTCGGGTCCTGATGGTCAGGCAGATTCGAGCCATTGCCCGCAGTCCGAGACACCTCACTGAGGAGAGTGATCTGCGTCTACTGCAACGCCTACGGCTGCCTCAAATACATGAGATGCTGCTTCAGGTCCACAGTCGAGTCGTTGAGGCTTCCACTTCTCTGCGCCAGACCCTTAGTCCACAAGATGTACGTCTCACGCAGGCACGCAGGATATCGTCCAGCGTGAATGTCGGCTCCTTGAGGTTTTCGAGCAACTTGTTGCTACGGATGCAAAGGCTGCTGGCACGCCGAACAGGCTCACGTGTGAGCACTGCGGGCAATCCTTTGACAATGATGCGGCCCTGCGGCAACACAAAGGTCGTATGCACAGCAAAACCAGAATGGAGGCGGCACCCACGGTGTTCGACAGGCAACAACATGGCACTGACGGCATGCCACGTTGCCGTGGATGCGGGCATCCCTTCGCTAGGTGGGCGGACCTTCAGAAGCACATCGAGGAGAACCACTGCCAAGGCAAAACCCAGGAGGAAGCGCCCGCCCCTGAAGAGCGGTCCTGCCCTGCCGGGCTTGCCCGGCGGCGCTGTTTAGAGTAAACGTTTTGGGTGGGCGGGGCGGGGTGTCTCTGTGGGTAGGAGGAGTTCCCTCGACTAGACCAACTCGAAGATCTCCGCAGTTTCAAAGAGAAAAGTTTTATCTAGCAGTTTTGAGTTTCTATTTTATTTCACGCATCGTGCGCTTTTCAGAATTGAGCCAGAAGCTGAGTGCGCGCACAATCTCAATGCTTATCATGGACGCAGAGCTCAGGCTCAGGAGCAGGGAAAATTTTGATTGTATGGGGCTAGCATTCACAAGCATCGTTGTGACGCATGACTGGACAGTTTAGCTTCACGGTAGCTCCATACTTTAGGACTACGAACGCGGTAGAAGGGTGGCCCTGCGGCCCATGGTCGGCCATGAGTGGCACAGGACTCGGATGGCCCGCTTTAGTGCCACCATACCGCAACCGCCTTGAAGAGTGGTTTAGCACGCCTGAGAAATTGTATGCCTCATTCGACACGAGGGAAGAGCTTGTATCATTGCTTAGGGCTTGCGATAACACGCTTCTTGAAAGTAGCCTGCAGTTGATTGCGGATGCACTTCTTGAATGGCATGCAGACAATGCCCGCACAGTTGCGAGTGGGCGCAGGGAAGCAAGGAGGCGCTTGACAGAGTGCTTGCCCAGTGTCCCGGGAACTGGCCTTAGCTTGCATGAGCATTACAATCAGATCGCACTTCAGAGTCCACTTGCGTTGCTTCCGGTTCTTCGCAAGCGGAAGTTAGCTACTGATAGGGTCGTAGATCGCGGTGCCAGGGCCACTGAAGAGATACGACTTCGGCAGGAGTATGCCTTGCGTCTTGCAGCCATCATGCAGGAGGCGCAACTGCCGGTGTGCAAGGTGCTTGCAGGGGTCAGCAATGCCGAGGAAGCCTGGCCACGGCTGTTCGGGACCCGTCGATCCAAGACATTGAGGAATCGCTTTAGGGCTTGGGATAAGTTTCGGGAATGGTTGCTTTATAGCCGTGGCAGAAGTTATCCGGAAGGGGTAGCTGATGTGCTAGATTATGCCAATGAACGATTCCAGGAAGGATGTGGAAAGACAGTTCTCGAAAGCCTGCAAGCCTCTCTCAGTGTAATTGAAGGTGTAGGGCGCGTGCCGTCCACGCAGCAGATATCTCAGGATCCCACATGGCAGGCGCAGCTCAAAAGTTACACAGCCGATTTGGTTTCGGCGGCACCGCCGGAGCAGCCAGCCAGCATGCTCACCGTTGCTATCATCCTCGCATGTGAGATCTTCGTTTGCACGCCTGGGGAGCCTAGTTACTTGAGAGCATTGGGCTTTGTTTGCTTATTGATGGTTTGGGGATCGCTTCGGGCTGATGATGTTCAGGGGCTCCTGCCGCAGACCATGCTTCTGGACGAGCGAGGGCTTAGCATTGATCTCGCGCGGTCCAAGACTACAGGGCCCGACAAAAGGACCCACACCGTCAAGGTCTTCGTGGAACGGAGTATCTCTCTGACAGGGCATGATTGGCTGAAGGTCGGATATGCACTTTGGAAGGATTTCGATTTTGAGAGGGATTATTTGGTTTTGAAGGCCAATGAAGGTTTCACGGAACCCCTTGAGAAGTCGGTGCCTTCCTCCACGGTGGCCCTTTACTTCCGCAAAGTTCTCAGTGAGTTGAAGACGCCCAAGCGTGAGGGGCGCACCTGGAAGGCCAATGATCCGCGTCCGCTGCTCCCAGGATACACTTCCAGTCATTTTACGGGCCATTCTGCGAGGAACTTCCTTAGCTCGGTCGGAGCGGCCATCGATGTCGACCCCAGGGAGCTTGATTATCTGGGTCGCTGGAAGGTAGGTGGCGAAGGTTCTGCAACCTACATTCGCACTTCTAGGCAGGTTGTGCATCGTCTCCAGAGTCACATTGCTTGTTCTCTTGTCACCGGACAGCCTAAGCACTACATCGAGGTGGATTCCATCAAGGCTTTGACGGACTATGCAGCTAAGGCGGGGGAGAGCGAATCTCAGGTTCGTCGCCGTCACACCCTCCTCGAGGGATCCAAAGGCTTGGGCGGATCGTGGCCAACTCTGGCATTGGAAGTGGGTGTTGCGGCACCACCTTCTCCGGTCGAGCAGGTCTCGATGCCAGGCAGCCGGGGGAATTACTTCATCGTTACCTCTCGCACCACAGGCCTGAGGCGTTTGCACATGTTGGGCTGCTATGTCAAACCTGAGAATTGTTACGATGTAAAATTTGTCAATCATGTCGGCGCGGAGGACGTCGATAACATTTGCAAAGATTGCAAAGCAAGAATGAAGGCTCAGGCCGGAGAGGAGGAATCAGACCCCTCCAGCAGTGACAGTGGGAGCGAGTCGATGTGAAGGCAAAAGATGCTTTCGACTGCTGTGTATAGGCTGTGCCCTGCAAGTCCTAGCCAGAAGTTGGCATGAGTTGCTTATGCAAGGGCGCCTTGAAGTAGATCCACGATAACAGTCCATGCTGACTTTTGCCAGGGCGTCTTGAAGTGGATTCGCGATAACAGTTCATGCTGATTAAGTGCACGTGCTGGCGCTGTTCAAGCAGGAGGAAGTCTCACTCGGCGCAGGCCGTGAGGTGCCGACGGATTCTGCATCCTGTCACAGACCTCAGGGCGACGGGTGGACACATCGCAGTGCAGCTAAAGGCCTCAGGGCGGCTAGCAATCCAAGTCCTACAGGGCCACAGGCCGGGGCGCGGCCTTCGCATCAGGAGTAGCTGGAGTTAGTTACTGTTGTCGCAATGGCCGCCACAGATGCCGAGAAGCGCGAGCTCATAACCAAAGCAGATAGCGACTTGCAGTTTGTGCTCGGAGAAGCTGGCTTGTCTCTGGATGCCCAGTATCGCATTGTGCAACGACATACAACACTTAGGCGATTCCAGGCAATCGCCGATTCCCGGCCGGAAGCTCGGGCTGCTGGGAAGGCGGACTTTGGTTTTGATGATGGGGCTGCTGAAGGGCGGCAACAAATCGCGGGGGTCGTCGCTGCATGGGAACTTGCACGCGACGTAATCAGCAAAGAGACGGAAACGCGAGCAGAGGCGAAAGTGTTAGGCCAGCCGCGAATCTTGCAAGTCACAGAGAGGCAAGCCATGCTCAAGGCGGTAGCGGCCGTTCACGGGCAGCTGGGAGAGTCGGAGACTCCATCGTCTGAGTACCTCGCTCTCAAGTGCGAGGAGTGCGAAGCCAATGAGCCCCAGGCTTCAACCTTGGATGCCATAACTTCGAAGAAGAACACGCTCACCACGAGCATCCAGTCCAGCCTTGACGCTTCGGGGCGAATTCATATTACTCAGCACAAATCCAAGAGTGAGCTCCCGACTACTACAGAAGCTTATCGCAAGGTCCTTCGCGTGGAAGCTTTCACATGGCTGTGCATGGCATCCCGCTTTAAATCCAAGCAGTGGCTTCAGGATCTCAAGCTGTCTGACTTCGACCACTTTGTGAACTACATCCTTGGCGAAAAGGTCGCGCAGCTCACAGTGCCTACTTCTCATCAGCCAGCCGATGTGCCTTCACTTTCGCCACCTTGGGAAGTAGTCTTGGCCTATGAGCACCGGTTGCGCAAGGAGGCTTTCCGTCTGGTCAATGATCAGGGTTATACTCTGGCAGGCGCTCTGGCTTCAGTCATTTCTTCAGCGGAGCTTAAGGAGACCTACTTCACGACGCCGCTCGCCTTGTCCATCATTGAGCGACCACGCAAGTGGCACAAAGGCAAGGGCAAGGCAAGGACGGCAAGGACGGGGGCAAGACAGGAAAGGGCGGCAAGGGCAAAGACTCCAAGGGGGGCAAGAACGGCAAAAGCCCCTCGGACCCGGCACTTAAGGGCCTTCAGTTGGTTTGGCGCACGCCGGAAGGCCGCGACATCTGCTTTGCATTCAACTCGCAGGGCTGCACCAATCCTTCATGCGAACGCTTGCACGTGTGCCGGGTCAAGGGCTGTTATCAGCCCCACTCAGCGACCGAGCATAAGCTTAAGACCGGCAAGCCCAAGGAGTGACTATCGCATGATTCGGTTTCTACCATTGAGACATCAGATCACATCGCATACCAGCCTCAGCTGTACAGTCCGAGCGGGCTTCGTGTGCTCTACATTTTCGCGGGGCCCCATCGCAAAGGTGATGTGGGCTCTTACCTTCAGTCTTTGGGCCATGTCACTAACCTTCTTCAGTTCGATCTTCAGCGCTCCACAGAGCATGACTTGACTAAGGAAGGATTGTGGCAGCACATCTTTCAGTTGCTTGGCGAAGGGGATTGGATCCTCATTGCCTCTCCTCCTTGTGAGACATTTTCCAGAGTCCGGCACCGCCACCCCGGGGCAAAGCCACTACGTTCAGCATTTTATCCTCGAGGTTTTCCATGGTTGAGCAATTTGCACGCGCAGCAGGTGGAGCAGGCTAATTATTTTCTTGATCAGACCGTCACGGCATGTCAACTTGCATGGCAGTATGTCCTTGAGCACCCGGAGGATCTCGGTGCGACTCCGGATCACGAGTTACCAGGTTCCATTTGGCAACTACCCGCTCTGCGTGAGCTCCAGGTTTCCACTCAGGCCATCACTTTTGCATTCTTTCAATGCAGCTTTGAGGCTCCCACTTCCAAACCTACCCGCCTTCTCACTAATCTACAGGCCTTTGTCGAGCAGCCTCCGCCTTTTGCTTCATGGCCACGCTTCGACTCCAGCGATCGCTACGTGCGGCCGTTGCCGCCACGCTGCCCGCACGGGAAACACGACAAAGTACTTGCAGGCCGAGAAGGCTCCCGCTGGGCGACCGAGTCATCAGCAGCCTATCCTCCTCTGTTGTGTGAGTGGCTTGCGCATGCTGTGCTTGCTTCCGCTTCGCAGGGGGGACTTGGGTCAGCGCCGCACAGCTCCGTTCCAGGTGAGGCAGGTCCAATGCAGGAATCCCACGAGGCGACGCAGGAGGTGCATCAGGATTTGTGTGAAGTGCCGCAGGGGCTGCAGCATCAGGATTTGTGTGAAGTGCCACAGGGGCTGCATCAGGTGGTTTCCGATAGGGTAGAGGCGGTTACAGATAGGGTAGAGGCGGTTGGCTTGATCGAGTCGGAAGCACCTCCTTCCACTTTGTTGCCGTCGCCAGACTCTTCGGGGCAACCGCAACCGAAGGCAGCACCTAGGGGGGTTAAGAAACACATTGAAGCCGAGGAGTTCGCACGCATCATTTCTTCATCGAGAGCCCCGACTCGGGCCGAGGTCCATGCTCTCTTCAAACTGCTGCCGCATGAGACTCCGCCTAGGTCGGCGGTGTCCTCTAACTGGGTTCCTAGCAGCTTTTCGACAGGCTTGTACCGGAAGGGTGGAGGCCTGATCGGGCTCAGGTCCGCGTGCAAAGGCTTCCCGGCTTCCACTGAAGCATTGGCATCCTTCGTGCGTAGCAACATGCCCGGGCACCCCTTTACCACGATTAGCCTTTACCTTAACACCGGCACCAAGCCCCACAAGGACTCCAGGAACGCACCTTTGCCCAATGGGATAATAGGGGTTACTGACTTCGTAGGAGGAGAGATCTGGGTCGAGGCCCAGGATGGGGAGTCTGTTCAGATTGTTGACGGTAAGCGCTTAAGTGGTCACCTTCTTCCGATCAGTGAGACACCCACCTACATACATGCTTACCGCGATCTTCACCTCACAATGCCCTGGAAAGGTAAGAGATTGGTCATCATAGCTTTCAGTGTATCGGAGCATACTCAGGCATGCGATGAGGATCTCGCGTTTCTTCGCGGGCATGGTTTCGTCCTTCCGGGCGAAGAGCACAGTGCTGATCTTGAGGCGGTCCAGTCAGATGATTCGGAGGTGCTGGAGGGGGGCGAGGTCGAAAGACCGGAGCCCTTCAAGCATCAGGAGTGCCACAACATCGGGCTGCCTTTGAACCTCGAGTGGGATGGCAAAACTCAGCCGATCACGGATGGCTTTGGGCTCTGCTCACCCACTAGATGGCCTCCGGAAGCCAGGGGGGGCCTGCTGCCCAAGCAGGCTTTGGAGTTCGCCACTGCCATGCATCAAGTGCTTCGAGACTTTGTAGCGGACGTCGTGCCTGATATCAGGCGCACGGCGATGGAGCTTGCGCTAGGCCGCCTTAAGGAATCACCTTTCACTCCCGAGATGTTAAGGGTCCTTAGGAAGGAGTGGTTTAGTTGCATAGAGGCTGCTTCGGGAGGCAAGTGTACGGATCTTGATGTGGTGCCGAGTGGCCAGCCATTCTTCTTGCATGCTGTGTCTGCGACAGCGCGGCTGTTGCAGGACCCAGATTGGAAAGCCGTTTCTTGCCAGGAGGACTCCTATGTGAGCGGGGTCGCGATCGGTTATGACTGCCCCGCGCCTCACTTGCCACAGGTGTACGAGTACAAACACAAGTCCCGCAAGCTCGATGAATCGGATGTCGAGTGGCATCGCGAGAACTATTCGTCGGCAAACGAAACGTCGGATCAGCTTGAGAAGAAGTTTGCAGAGGAAGAGGCTCTTGGGCGCATGGCGCCTTCCACGCTGCCGGTTCTTGAGCAAAAGTACGGGCGGGATAGGGTTAGGATAGCTTCTTTAGGTTCCTTGATTAAACCAGACGGCTCCGCTCGGCCATTACACGATGGCACCCACGGTGTGCATGTCAACAATGGTATTAGGCTACTTAATCAGCAATCTAATCCCGGACCCCAGGAGGTAGTTCACCTTGTGCGTAGCGCAAAGCAAAGTCAGGAAGCCACCTTTTGCCTCACCGGCGATGTGACGGCGGCTCACAGGTTGTTCCTTGTCAAAGAGGCCGACTGGCCTTTGTTGTGCTGTAAGGTGCGCAACGACACGCCGGTCGTTTGGTACAACAAGGTAGGAACGTTCGGTATTTCATCATCCGCCTTCCTTTGGTCTAGATTGTTCGGAATCATCGGCCGCTGCACCGCGCGCTTTCTTTTGACCTTGTGGTTCTATCACCTCGTCTTCGTAGATGATGTTCACGCCAACTTCGCAGGAAGGGAGAAATTTCATCATTTGCTCATGTGGCTAGCATGCTTCGAGATGTTTGGCACACCTTTCGCATACAAGAAGTTCCGCGGTGGGCTCACTTCGGCTTTTGTGGGTTACGAACTTTCTTATCCAGACCAGAGGGTTGGAATTTCGGAATCGCGGGGCCAGTGGCTCTTGAAATGGATCGCTGAGGCTCGGTCCTCTAAGTTTGTTGTTTCGGTTCGCAGGTTTGCTGAGTTCTTAGGGAGACTGGGCTTCGTTGCTCGGCTTTTGGTTTGGCTTAAGGCACACCTTGCGCCGCTTTACAGCTGGAGGGCAGCGGTGAACGACAGTTCAGTCGCTCGGATGCCCGACACCGTCATCCTTACTCTTGAATATCTTGACCTCACGTTCAGGGACATGACGTTCAAGGTCGCCGCAGCAAGATCGGTCAAGAGAGCAGGCGTGGCCTTCCGCGCTGATGCAAAGTGCGCGGACGGGTACGTGGTCCTTGGGGGTTGGGATTGCGCAGGCACAACTCAGGAGTCCAGATGGTTCTCACTTCGACTTACTCCCTCAGAGGCCCCTTACCTCTTTGACTCAGAAGGTCACAGTCAGTGGGCTTCGGCATCGGCTGAATTGCTGGCCACGCTGGCCGCACTGCACATCTTCGGTCACCTTGAAGCCGGGCCAACTAGGCGTTTGATGAAGGTTGAGGTTTTAGCTCAGACGGATAATAAGTCTAACGAGGGCTTGACTCGCAAGGGTTCTACAACGCGCTGGCCCTTGCTCATGGTGAACATGCAGCTCACCCATGTTCTCATGAAGGCCGGCTTGCGGTTGAACTTGGGATGGCGTCCACGGGACGAAAATCAGGAGGCCGATGATTTAACCAACGAAATCTTCGACCGTTTCTCTGAGGAGTTGCGGGTCCCAGTGCAGTACTCCGAATTGCCGCTTTCCTTTCTTCACACTCTTTACGAAGCCAGGCGTGCACAGCTGAGCAGCCGTGAAGTGGATTCCATCCGCGACACGGTCGGTGGCAGGCCACGCTTCAGAGGCAAGAGAAAGAGAGAGAAGTCTCCTTGGTGACGTGCCGGCCTGCGGAAGGGGGGGCACAGGCACACAGGTGCGCCTTTCCGACACGTCAAAGACCTGTTCAAGAATTAGATGCCTGCGTGAGCCTGCCGCCATCCGTTTGAAAACATCCTGCGTGCTCCTTTCGGCAGTTGCTATCTCTTTAGATATTCATCATTAAGTGGCGAGGATACATTTGATTGGAGTCCCAATAGGCGAAAGCAAGATATGAGAATTTATACCCCATATATTCTCCGGGGATATCGTCGGTGCATTTATACCTTCGCCGATATTTCCGTTTGCCCAATATATCTTCTGGGCAATAAAATTTCTGATGAGGGAACTGAGTTTTGTAAACTTCGCTCACAGCGCCCTTCCTAAACACAACGGTTACGGAGAACAGGGTTTTGGCTTGCAGTTAGCTCCAAGCGCTCCAAAACGGGCAACGGCTGGGTAGAGCCGGCTAAAACTGCTGTGCGTGGGAGGGGGCAGGCAATGGCTCCTTCCTCTGGTGGCATGGCCACCTTTTCTTCAGATATGCGAAGGCGACTTAGAGCTATGACAGCTCAACTACATAAGGACGACAACGACGGCTTGAGTCTACCCCTCAGGCCTTGGGCTCGCGGGCCCTTAGCACCATGGAGCTGGTCTGGCCAGCAAGGCGAAGCTTCCCCTTTGGAAGCGAGGCACAAATTTTGGAAACAATGCTGCTTGGGAAGCAGCAACTGGGGTGCATCCGGGGCGCCAGGGGCGCTAGAGATGCAAAAGTGGCGAGGGCCATGGGTCTTCTTGTGAGTTTCATTGTGGAGAAGCGACAGGCCTACCTCCTTGGTGCGAGGCAGGCTTGGCAAAAGATGCTCGCCATCGGCATTGGACCAAGCATGCTGTGGTCTCCTGTGGGCGAGTTTGGCATCCTGCCTTTGGAAGGTGAGCTCTGGCCAACGGCTGCCTTTTGCAGCACCGAGGCCAACAGAGCTTGTGACAGGGAAAGAAGTGATATGGCCCGGGGCAGCGATGCTGCCAACAGGGCCGGCGAAACAATCAGTGCAAGTGCTGCTGCAGTGGGCGGCGGCGAGATTATCAGTGCTTGTGATTTCTCGGCTGCGGGCTGTGGCGAGGAAAATGGAGACAGCGATCTTGTTGCTGTGGACAATCATTTCGACAGTGATGCTTTCACTTGTGGACATGGTGAGACAGATTGCCCTGGCTTTTGTGCTGCTGCGAGCGGCGATCGGCAAGCCACGGCATGTATCGCTGCTGGTCCCTCTCTTGATGGCCACATTTGCTGGGAAGAGGTGCACGATGAAGGCAGCCACGGCATTGCTTTCAGCATCTACGACTCCACCATCGACGTTCCTGCTCTTAGGTCTAGGGGGAACCGGACCCAAGAACCGAGAAGAACAACAAAAGATCCGCGTGAGGACAAAGAGTGTTGTAGGGTAGGTACGGTGTCTGTCTCACGTCGACCAGATGCCGGGGACCGGACCCTAGAACCGAGAAGAAACAATCAAGATCCGCTCGAGGACAAAAAGGGTGAACATGCTAGCTCCACCGGCCCGCCCATGGGCCCCCCGGGGCCTTCAGCCTCGCAGTGCGGAAGCCATGGCAACAGTGTTGGCTTTCAGGTTCCTCCCGCCTGCGCGGCGGCGGCTGCTGGCGGCCAGTTGAGCGAGCACTTCCACCCGAAGGGCAAGCCCACCGACACGTTTCTCGAGGACCTGGAGGGCACGATCACTGGCGACGGCGACGCGAGAGGACAGCCGTCCCAAGACGACAGCCGCGGACGACGACTTGATGTTGGCAGCTCCGGTGCCACCTGCATGTGCATCCCTGGGACCCCCCTAAGGTTTAGTCCTGTTGGGTTCCCCGGTACTGCGACGAAGCTGCATCGCAAGAGACTGCTGCCAACATTGCGGGCTTACACCAAGCCTCGCAAGCGCTTCTGCTGCAGTGTGACAGGCACTCTGCAAATCATGCCAGGGCATCCAGGACAGGGTTCATGTGATCATGTGCGGCAGGTTCCCTTGTGCACAACTTGTGTTGCTTCTTCTGAACCCTTGCTTGATCCGAATTCCCAATGTTGGTGCTGTGGCGCAACCGGCCGGCCTTATCCGAGGTGTGGTCGGGAACCCTCGAAAGAGAGCGAGAAATCCCACCAAGGACAGGTCAGGACCTCTGCGGCCCGCACGGATTTGCATGATGCCTCTTTTCTTGAAAGTGCCGAAGCTAGCCTGAGGTGCGGTCAAGATTGGTCGAAAGATCCTAGCATATCCCACCGAAGGATCGCTGAAGCAGATTGTGCCATCTTGCATGAATCCCAATCCGACAATACCCAGTCTTCTCCTGCTCTGGCTCCCTCTGCTGCTGCAGGTCGAACGAGTGTGCAAGAGCCCGTGACATCCTCACGAGCGCCCTGCCGGTCTTCGCTTCGAGGCTGGTTTCAGTGTTGCACCGCTTTCCTCGATCGTGGTAAGGCTGCTTTCGGTTGCTGTAACTCTGAGTTTCCCTTTGTGGCTTGTGACCCCAGCCGGGGCAACGGTCCGGATGGTAACCTTGAAGCGCGACCCGGCGAGGTAAGCCACCCAGGGCCGAGGATCCATTGCAAGCGGCAGCTCCCAGCACTGAGGGCGTACACTAAGCCTCGAAAACGCAGCTGCCGAAGCGCGGCAGGTGCTTCGATCAGCGCACGGTGCCGTGACTGCAAGCGGCCGCTTCCAACACCGTGTGCCTATGTGAAGCCCCGCAAACGCTTCTGCAACCGTGGCGATGGCACCCTGCAGGCGAGGGCTGGACATCAGCAACAACTGCATTCTAATCAAGTGCCGCCGGTTCCCCTGGTTCCCTTCGGGTATAATCCCTTCCGGCCCCAGCCGAACTTTGAGCGCAACACATGCATGATACCCTCAGCCTCCTTGCTTGATCCGACTTTCAAGTGTTGGTGCTGTGGCGCAACCGGCCAGCCTTGCCTGAGGTGTGGTCGAGACTCCTCGGAAGAGGGCGAGAAATCCTGCCAAGGGCGGGTTAGGACCACTGCTGCCCGCACGGATCCACAGAATGATCTCCTTCTCCAAAGTGCTGAAGCCAGCCCGAGGTGTGGTCAAGTTTGGTTGAAAGACCCTAGCATTTCCCACCGAGGGTCAGCTACAACCACTGGTGCCGCCCTGCAAACATCCCACTCCGGCAACACCCTGCTTTCCCCTGCCTTGGTCCTCGATGCTACTGCAGGTCAAGAGCGCTCGCAAGAGCCCGGCATATCCTCAGATGCATCCTGCCGAACTTCGTCCCGAGGCTGGCTCCTGCTGTGCCCCTCGTTTCTTGATTGCGGCAAGGTCTTCGCAGGTTGGTGCAACATTAGGTTTTCTTTTGGGATTTGCACCCCCAGCCGGGATCAGTGCCATGACGACAAAACTGGAGAGAGAATCGGGGAAGCCAGACACCCGGGCCCGAGGTTCAGTCCCACAGGTGACTGCATTCAGAGCGCTCCCAGCCGGGAGTGGTGTCATGACGACAAGGTTGGTGCCCGAATTGGAGAGGCCAGCCACCCGGGTCCGGGTTTCGACTTGGGGGGTGGTTTCGCTGATGCACTCAAGCAACAAATCATGCAACTAGTGCAGGAGGCAGTGCAAAAGATCCTTGCTGATCTTAATCTAGGCTCCCTCCTGGGGGGTCAAGTGTCAGTGCCACTGGCAAACAGTCCTTTTGCTCCCTTGCTTCCGAATGCTGCAGGGACTGGCGACGGTGTTCCGCCCAGATCCCGCAGAAAGCGCAAAAATAAGGGGCAACAGCCCCTAGCAGAGCAGCCAGAGCCCAAAGGCAAGGCCAAAGGCAAAGGCAAGCACCAAGGCGAAGGTGATAAGACCCTGCACCCTCCTAAGCCCTCGACCGAGGCCCCTGCAAACCCCTCTCGAGGTAAAGGCATCGGCATCACACCGGAGGATGCAAAGGCTGGCTGGGTCACTGTTGGCCCAAGAGCACGACCGAAACCCAATGACGAATTCTGCTTAAGAGCACAAGATTGGAATCAGCCCCTCCTTGATCCCACAAAGTTCGCTGAAAAGCTTGAGGCGATCCCACAGGGTGAGAAACTGACAGGCGTGATCTTGTGCAACTCTGAGCAGGCTCAGCTTATCAAGGCCATGGCAGCTGGATGTACCAAGGCTTATTCCGTCACTCTGGTGTGCCTCGATCCTGCGGGAACCGCCCGGGTCCCAGGCCTCGTGAAGGATCAGCTGCAATTCCGCAAAGCCACTACGGGCTTCCTTCGCTCTGATCCGACAGATGCTGTCCCGGCACCTAAGGGTGCCAAGCCCACTTTTGCCGTGGTTCGCAAGCCCTCTGTGGTCCTGCATGCGAGGATCCCGAAAAGCTTTGCCACCGAAAAGCTTTGGGCTGCTGTTGCCAAGACACCCTCCCGTGTCATGATGCAGTGGATGGCAGACCACCATGTCAATGTGCTGGACGCCTGGGGCTGGAAGGAAGAACGCCTCGCTAAGGACCTCCAGCTGTATGGCCTTCTCAGGGTCAGCGAAAGTGACTTGAAGCCAGTGCTTGCGCTCTCTGGCATCGACGGCATCTTTCTTGAATGCGCTAAGAATAAAGAAGCACCGAAGCTTCCCACCAAAATCACTTGGGTTGAACCTACCAAGGGCGAGGCTCCGGGTGAATACCTTGCTCGCATGCGGCGTTCGGCTGGGGACCTAGGTCTCGCACATCGTGGAGGCAAACTCGGCCAAATTGCACCACTTGCCGACGGCGAGCCCATTGCGAAAATCTGGTCGGTGCCGTGGGTCCCGGCCGATTGGACTGTCGAGCAGGTCACCGACCTGCTAAAAGCCTCTTTCACGGAAATCGCCATGCTCAGGCAATTGCGCAAGAAAGCTTCCAAGGTGTTCTACTTTCGTGCTGCAGCCAAGGAGCCAGACCGGGATCTCATTCCCCTCCCGGCCAAGGATGGCGACACTGAGCTGACTTTGTGGGCAGCGGTTGCACCTCCGCGCACCCCGGTGCGACAGCAG